CGTGACTCCACCCTAAAAATTATCAACAAGAGATATTTAATGCAAGTTGACAAGTTGTGATTATTTTTTATAAAAAGAAAAAACAAAAGGAAAAAGGTCAAATTTAATCCACAAATAAAATGCAGCCAAATCATAAAGGAACTACAATCCAACTGGTTAACGAGGCAACCCACCTCCAAACAGCGCCGCGTGGATCTTCTTTGCTGGCATTATCATTTCCTCTTCACAAATAAAAAGTCGTCTTCTCCTTCCTTCACTCTTGCAGAACCACTCTAGTAAGCCGATCAAATAAAAACGCTGTGTTTTTTTCATTTTCTTACTCTTCAACTCAGTAACTTGCTTATCAAAACCGCGTCCCCTATTAAGGCTCTGTTCGCTGATGTGGCCGTGAGTTCTTTTTTCCTTTCGAAGCGGTAGAATCGGAATCTGAAAACATAAAATGATGAATCGGGCAGACTTAACAGTCGGACCGGCTATGGATATGCCGATCATTCACGACAGTGATCGTTACGATTTCGTTAGAGATATAGGGTCGGGTAATTTTGGAGTAGCCCGGCTTGTGAGAGATAAGGTTACCAAGGAGCTCGTTGCTGTCAAGTATATCGAGAGAGGCGATAAGGTTAGTTTATGTATATTCAGACACACAATCATATCCGTTCTTTGTACTTTTTTTAGTCTATTGATGGAAACATATTACTAGTATTTATAAAATATAATGTTTCCCTGTTTTTGTATTGTTTTTTTATGCACTGTTTTTGTATTATTGTTTTATTCTGTGCGAATTTATATTTATTTATTTTTAATTTCGGAAATGTTTTATTAGCTATCCTGCTTTTTGAAATCTCAACTTATTAACTATCCTTTTAATTCCCAATATTCTGATTAAAATTTGAGCTTCTTTGTTTCTGTACAGATAGATGAACATGTTCGAAGAGAAATTATTAATCATAGGTCATTGAGGCATCCCAATATTGTTAGATTTAAAGAGGTGTGGTTAACACTTCATATCTTTACAATTTCACTTTGTCTCTTTGTATGAAAATTAAGGCAATGTTTTGATTGACCAACTACGGACATTGTTACTTTAGGTTATCTTAACACCTACACATCTTGCCATTGCAATGGAATTTGCATCCGGAGGAGAGCTTTTCGAGCGAATTTGTGCTGCTGGTCGGTTCAATGAGGATGAGGTTCATTTTCCTTCTTTTTTATACTCACTTTAAGTACCCTTTTACTTATTTGCTGGCTTTGATGTATTACTATTTTCATTATCTTGGTGCAGGCTCGTTTCTTCTTCCAACAACTTATATCTGGTGTTAGTTATTGCCATGCAATGGTTGTTACTATGTGTCCATTTATTTGTCAACTTGTCTTATGTGTAACCTGATACAGTTATTTTGCTCATAAATATGATTTCTTTCTCTTGATGAAGCAAGTTTGCCACCGTGATTTGAAGCTGGAAAATACTTTGTTGGATGGAAGTCCTGCTCCTCGGCTTAAGATATGTGATTTTGGGTACTCCAAGGTATAAATTGCTGGAACCCGTGTTGGTATTTACTGTCATTCGATGTGTTAAGGGTTCTACTTTCTATATCAACTTTATAAATTATATTCTTTGGTATGGATGTACTTATTTGTTGCTTAAGAAATCTTGTTGTAATTTGCTCTTGCCTTAGAATAGTTATCATTAGTTTTGGTATATTTGGGTGAAATTGCATGCGACTTTTGTAGCTTTTTGGTTAAAAAATTTTATTTTGTTGTTTTCCAATGATCTTAATGGTATCTAAGCTCATTATCGTGTTTACCGTTTGATTGTTTCAGTCTACAGTTCTCCATTCGCAACCGAAATCAACTGTTGGAACTCCTGCATACATTGCTCCTGAGGTACTCTTAAAGCCAGAGTCTCAATATGATGGCAAGGTATATTTACAAGAAAGTTCAAATTAGTTTAGAATGTCGGTTTCCTATTCACATGATGCAATTCCTGGTTAAGACTTAAGAGGTTGATGTTCTATGGGCTGGTTCCTGCTGTCTTTGTGTTTCAGTGAAATGAATCAAATTTATGGTTCATCTAGTTTATTTATAACTTCAGTTTACTCTTCATAGCTTTTGAGATACATTTGCATAATATGCTAGCTTGAAATTGTCCTCTGCTTCCTTGGCAGTTCATTAACTAGGAAGTAAAAATCCTTAGTTTGCTTATGCGTAAACCAAAGATATGATCAGCTGCAATTGGAGAGTAAAGCGTTGTAGTTTATTTTGTGATGACTAGGAACAGGCCCTACGGCTGCACTTTTCTTAATTATTTAATATGGGCCATGTAAATACAAGGCTAATATTTGCAACTTTCATGAACAAAGATAACTTATTGAGAATCAAATTCAATCAAAAGAATAATGCAGAGAGTTTGTATCACCTGATACCATCTGTTTCTTTGTCCAAGTGAGTGGCATTTTTGTGCATGTTGATGTTAAAATATGAGATGGAATAAGATGAGTTGATTAACTTTGTCTGGTGATATCAGACTGCCGATGTATGGTCATGCGGGGTTACGTTGTTTGTAATGCTGGTTGGGGCATATCCTTTTGAGGACCCTGATGAGCCAAAAGACATTCGGAGGACAATACAAGTATATAACTCTATCTTGTTATTACATTAGTCTCACTCCAAATAAATCTATGGGCTAATCATTGGGTCATGCAGAGAATTATCAATGTCCAGTATTCCATTCCTGATTTTGTCCAAATATCTCCCGAGTGCCGACATTTGATTTCAAGGATTTTTGTTGCAGACCCTACGGCTGTGAGTAATTTCTACTTATGCAATTCAAAATTATTCCTTGATTTTTCAAAGTTAACCTTTTATTCTGGGACACGAACATCCTTGAAAGGAAAGAGACACTTATGATAGCAGAAGGAGTGGCCTTTTTGCTTTTTGGGGCAACTTTTTGCAAAAACCATTATTCAAAAATGTATTTTTTTAAAACCTTCCGATAATGGATTATTTTATTTAACAGAGAATTACAATTCCAGAAATTAAAAATCATGAGTGGTTCTTGAGAAATCTCCCTGCTGACTTGATGGATGAAAACACAATGGGTAATCACTTTGAGGAGCCTGATCAACCTATGCAGAATATTGATACTATCATGCAGATAATTGCTGAGGCAACCATTCCAGCTGCAGGAGCCCAGGGCTTAAACCGTTTAATGGTAGACAGCCTTGATGACGAATTCATGGATGATTTTGATTCTGAATCTGAGCTTGATGTTTATAGCAGTGGAGAGATCGTCTATGCAATGTAATACGAAGAAGACAACTTTGCAACGTGAAGTTGTTTTGAGCATGTCAAAGTGTGAAGAAATAGCTGCAAAGAGTGGTGAGATGATAGCAGTATCAGAGAGAAAGTGTAGTCAAGTTGCGCGATACCGGTCTCATAGCAAGAAGCTTTATACAAATCTGTGGAACAATTTATATGTAATACAACTTAACAAGGGAGAATCGCATGGAAAAAAAAAGATTGTATATTGGATGGTCATCTCCCAAGCTTCTACATCCTGTTTCCGTTGAACTCTTGTTCATTTCTATTTTTAGCATTAGTCGTGTCTATTTAATTGGTTCTGTTTCTTTCAGTTAAAAAATACATTCGTGCATTTTGTGTATATATTTGGCTTGGTACAGATCTATTCAGAGATGGATTCAGCACGGGATAGCTGGAAAATTTAAGAACTTTGCCTGCAAATCTTAGTATTTCTTTCTACTCTTAAATTAGTAAGAGATGATTCAAAAGGCTCGTATTGATAGGCGTAGGCTGTATCCTCATCGCATTAAACATACTTCAAATGTTGCAGCTTTGTGATTGTTGGAGGTAGATTACAACTGAAGCACTCTCTCATACAGAGCTCCTTTAGATTGTGCAGTTCACCAATCTGGGCTGGCATGTTTATGATGCTTCGACAGTTGGAAATATCGATAATACTAAGCTTGGATAAGTTGCACATGGTATCAGGCAATGTCTTGAGTTTAGTACTGGATGCCAGCCTTAGCACATCTGAATTTACCCGCTTTCCGATGCCCTCAGGCAGTGTACGGAGCTGGTAGCAATTGGTGATGCTAAGCTTCATTAGTTGAACAAGATCACTAATTGTTTTCATGAGTAGATAAAGCATATTTACATGTTCTATTATTAATATTTAAGAATGGGTTGCAATGAATATATTTTCACGTCTGTTTGTATGATATTAAATTGAAAAAGAAATTAGTCGCAGGAATTTAGGTCGATATTTGTTTTGAGTGATTTTGGTGATTAATGTGTAGCTTCGGATTCAAGTCGGACTGTCACGATCGGGTTTGAGGAGTCACAAACGGTGTGAGAGTTCACTCATATTATCATGATGTCTGTTCTAAGATTGAAGTCTTTGATTAGACTTTTAAACATAGAAGTGAGTGCATTACTATGTGTTATTAGGACTTCGAGATTTGTCCTTCATTACGCTTGAAATGCTATAAATGTACTTTGGATGCTATTTATGAGTCTTGGGCTATGTTCTTTATGATTTATGTTTCTATTTCTATGATTAACCATATTCTAAAAATGATCCATTTCATATCCTATGGTCTATTATGCTATATATGTCTTACTGAAGGACTTGCAATGAATTTAAGAAATTGTTGAATTGAATCCGTTGAACGCGACAAACCTCTAAAAATACGATGATTCCGCTCCTCCCATGTAAAATAGACGAAACCTCTAAAGATACATGATCAATTATGTATCGATTGTTGTAAAACATGATTATCAGATGAAATAATTGCATGGACTACAGAATCCACGGTAAAATATCCTAGAAGTGTACATAATCCACTGTTAAATATCCGGGAATATGTTTTCATGCAAAGGTAAACAATCCATATAGATCTTGAACTTAACCTGAAACCACAATTCGTGCATGAGAAACAGAATAAAGAACCGGAAAATTGTCTAACTAGAATGCTTTAGTGCCTTGCACTTCCAGTCAACGAGAATGAGATGTAAGCATCAGTAACATGGATTTCATTTTTGCTTTTATGGTCTCCAAGATACAACTAGAGAAACCTTAAAGATCATTTCATAAAGGCAAAAGGGACTACAAAAGCTTCAGATTCATATCGAGATTTCTAATGACATTAATGAGAAAGCTACTATAAAAAAATAGCAGGCTATGAACACTACAACGAGAAAAAATGGAAGAACAACTTGACCAAGGTCAATGCTATTACCTATCAATGGCTTGTTGCCAAAATATATTCCTGAAAGTCATTGAACTTGGCTCATTGCGAAATTGTTTTCCTATAAGTCATTGAACTAAGTCCTACAAGCCAGAGGAATCATTATGTCATAGTTTGCAATGTCAGTGCTAATACCAAACAATGGCTCATCAGTCATCACCATATTGTATTCCTTTAAGTCATTGAACTGAATCCTAAAAGCCTATTTCTCATGTGTCATGGGTGTTAGGCCATATTGCCTGTTTTCCTTATTTTGTGTTACCTTTCTCATGAAAATTAGTGTAGTTGAAAATCCTAAACCTTAAACCAATTTAAGAACAAGAAAAACCTGAATTTACAGTATCCTTCAGAAAATTATGTCTGTGAATTCAAATCATATGACGGATTTATCATTGCTAGTTGCTGTTCAAGTTTTGCAATCCGAATCTGCAGACAAAACATAACAAATAAATTCTTGAAATAAATTGCAAATAAGTGTAACACATTCAGAAATGGAGTGACATAGTTCAGTGTCCATTCCATGTACAACCAACCAGTGGGATCATGTCCAGGTACACACAATCCCCTTCTTATCTGCAGAGGCTAATGGTTTTCCAAGTACAACACATGTCGAACTGCTGTCACTTGAATGTTTTCAGGAAGTATACAGTTACAAAACGAACCTGAAAGTCAAATACCTCGTTCATCAGATGAAATAATTGCATGGACTACAGAATCCACAGTTAAATATCCTAGAAGTGTACAGAATCCACTGTTAAATATCCTAGAAGTGTTGGGGAGCTATTTCATTCAATCCTTCAAAAATAAATTATAGACATGATATCCCCTGCACAAGATAATCTAACAATGAGAAATACTTTTAAAACATACAATATGAATATGAAATCAACTGCCATTAGAAGCTATCTCCTAAGGTACTCAAATACAACACAGAATGTTTGATCACATGCACGTAAACGAGCAAGCAGTTTTCCCACCTAGTCGAGCCAGCCTATTTACCCATCCGGGAATATGTTTTCCATTTAGCTGCATGCACACATCATCGGTGAAATGGTTGCAATTCTTAGCAATAAAATGATATGTGTCCCCGTGGTATTTATCCGAAAGTTGTTCCATAAATAACCAAAATTCTGAAAGAGACATGTCGGTGCTGCCCAACAATACAGATCGTCTGAAGATGAAACCAGGACAACTTCTTGGTTCAACTTCAAACACCCCACTTATAGGGTACTGGTGTGCTCCAAAGCCATACCCCATCCCATGCACTGATTGGCAGCAAACAGGGCAAACTAAATCAATCCAACAAATTTTGAAGAAAAAAAAAACAGGAGAATGTCAAAGGTTAACATTTTCTTTTAATACATAACAAATCATTTTGTGAAGGGGACTATGGGGTATGGACAAACTTTACAAAACATAGATGATAGCAAAATTAGATTAACTAATGCCATCAAGGTAAAGATTTAAGATACTCCAAATGGAAATCAAATTGCATAACACATTTGCGGACTTTAATGAGTCATCTATAGAGACTAAGAGTCTTAAAATAAAAACTCACATTATATCCTACCATGCCTGCATGTCCAAAGCTATTTATCAAATAACTTAACAATCAACTTACAAGACAAAATCATCCACTCTAAGAAGCAAAATGAAGTTCACACAAGGCAAACATAAACCCATATTAACATAAAGAAGAAAAGGATGATACCTTCAATCCCAGAGTGGAATATATCAAGGCCGAACCAGTAAAGGAAGTTATTTATAGATGTGAGAACATATACATTGAGATACAACAAAGCGCGATTGTTTTCTCCATTGATTTGCTCCTTTGTCACACTTGAATCCGATGGAAACAATCGCATTTTCCCCTTAAAAAATTAACTTAATATTCTTCAAACTTATATCCCAAGCTCCTCATACTCTGCACAAAATTAAAAAAAAAAAACATATATGGGTTTTATACCCACATGATGCCAAAATTCAGGTATTATTATACTACTTAGCATAATGTCGTAAAAGTAGAAACCGAAGCAGAAAAAACCCCAAAGAGTAGGAATCACGGAAAATCAGAAAAAGAATGGAAAAGAATGGAAAATCGAAGAAAGGAAGAGAGAGAGATGTTGAAGTGATTCAGTTCAGGCAACTCTCTTGATCTTTGAAGAAAGAGATGAAGAGAAGATGCTGAATCAAATGAGGCTCTCTGTAAGTGAAATCAATCCTGGTGGTGGTGGAGATACAGGCTATACAGATTCGGAAAAAAAGGACAAGGGAAAAAGAACCCATGAAATTGAAGAAGAAGAAAAACACAGATAAGAGAAATTAGCTAAGTTGCAAGAACCCCAAAGATTTTTTTTCATGATCATGAACAATTAAGCAAGAAACGGAACACGGTGAAATGGACAGTGAATCAACAGAATTGAGTTCTTTGCAGGATAAGGATTCAGCAGTGGAAACATCTATATCCATTTCATTAAGAAAGAGACGGCGCTCTTCAGCCTCTTTCCAACGAAGAAAAACGGACAACCAGAGTGTTTCCCTGTTCATGTAGAATTCCAATAGGATGACTGATAATAGACAAAAATGCTCTGACTAAAAAGTAGGAAACAGAATAATTATAAAAGGAAAAGGAAAGCAGAGGAGTGTCTTTGAAAAGCATGAGTTTTATCAGTAGTTGAGCATAATCCTACATCGTTATGGAAATAAGAAATGGAATGATTTATAAACTAAATAGCCAACGCGGCCATCGGTTCATGTGTTGTTGCAGCTGCAAATTTGGATGGGCTTGCGGCTGCCCTCAAATCTTCTACACGCGTATAAAGATATTATGGGTGGTGGGCGTGCTTTTTGGTTACGGGCTTGTTTTTTTGGGGTTTTGGGCTCGGGTTTAGGGTTAAACCCTAACCTTTGGTTGCTTATGAATCGTTGGATCTCGATTAGATCCAACGGTGGAAGATGGGCGGTAGGGAGAGGGTTCAGTAGAAACCTTAATGGGTTTTGGGCCTGCAAGTTGGGCTTAAACCAGGTCGGATACGGGTCTAAACAGCTTGGTTCAGGGTGGCTTCGAGTCTTGGGTAATCTCTGGTAGTGGGTTGGGAGCTAGATGGGTTTTGGGATTTGTAATTTGGGTTGAATTTTGGGTTTACAAAAAATATGTAAGTTAAATGTAAATAATAATAATAGTAATTAAAAAAAGAATCGGACAAAAAATATGTCTATTGTTGCTTTTTGGTAAATATCTTCCAATAAGTGTACCAGTTTTTGACCCTTCACAATATTTATATTCGGTGCTTTTTCTCGACCTTTTCGTTTAGTATGATGTGACTTTGATTGAATGCTCTATGATAATTTGTTTTGGTTCTGTGAATTATTTTCCCGTTTTTGATTACTTTCCCTTATTGCTTAGGAGTCAGATGCACCACAAATTCAGACAATTGTTCCCACTTCTTATGATGAAATGTATCAACGTCCTTTTCCATCATTGGGAGGATATGCACCTCCTGCCTCGTATCAGCCTCCTGCCAATATCTTTTGTTCCAAATCCTGCTCTTTCTCCTCATGTTTCCCAGGGTATGCTTTATTGAGTTCGTTTTTGTTCATAGCATTCTATTTGATTAGACTCTACGCTATGGCTAAGTAGTAATGATGTTTTCTTTTGCTTTTACTTTTATTCTGTCACGTGCTCTCAACGCCTGCAGAAAATTTGGCTCCATGGATATATTTTTTCAAGTTTCTCTCCATGAGTCAAACCATCCAATTGTATGCTTTCTTAGGGGGAAAAGGGATGTTTGTTTAGAGATTTCCAGAGTGAAAGGTTGCATTTAACTTGGACTTATCTGAAATCCACTAGAGGAGGAGAACCTGCTATATAATATGGGTCTGAAGTTTTGTAGTTCTCACTCCCCCGACTATTTGCCCTATTTTGTGGACATCATTTTCATCCGATGTCTTGTAAAACAGAAGAAAGTGAACTAATTTAGAAATAATGGGATTTGTTCAAACTAAAACTCCATACTATTGAGTAGAGGCATCCATCAAAATTCAAGATTGATATTGTATTGGGATGGAATACCAGGAATCTACATCATTATTCATCTATGACAAATAAAGAAGAAAATGAAGAATATTTTTATATATTGAAGCATAAAATGTTCTCTTAGATTCATGAATTATAAAAGCATTGAAGAATTTTTGTTTGAGGATTTGATTTTATACTAATTTGTAAAAAAATAAAAATAAAAAAGAGAACCCAAAAAAGCTCACACATATGAAAATTAAGTAATTAAAATGCTAGTTTATTTATAATTGAGTAATAGAAATATAAGCTTATTCCAAGAACTTTGTTAAATAAAATTTGTAATTAAATTTTCTTGGAATAATGCATCATAAATTATAGAAAGGCCTACTGAAATAGATGTATAAAACCAATAAAAAAAAGTATGAACTATCTTCCTGCTATTGTGCTTGTCTCGGAGATTTCATCTTCATACAATCGGCAGCGATAAGAAGATAATGGCTGGCCAGTGAGCGGCTAAATACCATTAATTCAGATAGAGCTGTAAGTATCAATCCCACTTCATTCACAAAAGGTTTCTACTCCGAATATCTCCTTACTAGGATTAGAGGTTTTGTTCTTCTTGGATCCAGATGAGGTAGGACAAGATTGCTGGACAATCAAAACCGAAGCTGGGGATTCCAAATCCATTGAAACTAATGTCTCCCCGAGCGGTCCCAATTCTGGGAATTCACTCCAGTTTGCTAGCCCTTCTGTCAATGGGAATGTTCTACCATGTCCTCTTCCCACTACATATAAATCGAAATCATTGTAAGCATCACTTATGGCCGACACAATCTGGTCTCCACTGTTAACTTGTTTCTCAATATAGGTTATAGATTGATCATGCATTGTTCTGAACCTAAACTCATTTATATAATCATCATCAAGCTGCTTCTGCCTCTCTCTCTCAAACCTATCTGTGAAAATATATGGCGCATTGTCGTTCTCAACCAACTCAGAAACTTGTTTTCCTGGAACGAATCGGACTAAGGTAAACATTAGTCTTGGATTGCCTGCCATTTTCCAAGCATAAGCTAATGCCTCGCGTTCATCAGGTCCCTCCACGAACAACATGGTAACCCGACACTCCCGCATGCCTTTTTTTGATTCTGAGAAACAAGTTAGGCCACGATCCACAAGTAAACCAATGGAACAGGGTGAAGTTTCCAGCAAGTTTTGGTTCACAGTCTCATGCTGAAGGTTTTCATCTGTCCATCCGCCACTGGTATCGGGTCGCTTGTGAAACGGGATCAGAATGATATTGGCAAACTTGTCTAGTGCAAAATTGTTAACATCCTTGTGCATGGAGACATAAGGAGACACAACTGTTAGTGGCTTAACAGTGGCACCATGGTTGTCATTCTCAAAGGATTTAAAGGTACTCACTATTTGCTCCGCCTCAGCTTTTTCTTTGCTGCAATTGTTCCCAGTATCAATAGTCTTATTCTTATCATGGAAAATCAGCATCGCAGAAGTGCGTCCTGCCAGCTCAACTAAATGAACAGCAAAGACTGTAATCGGGGATTTTCTTGTGGCATTTGAAATTTGCAAGAGACTAAGCAAGCCGGACAAATTTCCGGTGGAGTGAACGCATGCAAGGACACGAAGTGGTGTATCTGGCTTACTTTTCACTAAGTGCCTATCATTGTACGACTTCAAATGCCTCGTGGACATGTGAGTGTAACTCACAACTGGGCCAATAATGACGGTCATAAGCATTATGGCAACCACAATCCAAGTAAATGTTTGTTAGTCAAAACCCTGAATATGTGTATTTTTCTTAAGTAAATGTTTGTTAGTCAAAACCCTGAATATGTGTATTTTTCTTAAGTAAGATTAGAATAGATAAAAGATAAATAGCCATTGATGAAAAGCAACTGTATATACCTTCATGTTTAGCCCTTCATTAAGAATAATGATGGCAAGAACTCCTTTAGTGTTCATGAGGACTCCAAGGGCCAAACCATCCCGCATTGGGCACTTAAAGTAGAGGCAGACAAGAAGAGTAGCTACAATCTTGGCAGATATAGCCATGAGTATAACTAGGATCACTAGTCCAACAAAATAGTCAGCAAAAATAAACTCGATATTGGTTCTGGTGCCGGTAAGCAAGAACATAGGGCGCAACAAAATCCCCACAACGAACTCTTCAACTTTTTCCTTGATATTACTCCCTAGCTCTCCTCCAGATATCATCAGTCCAAACATAAAAGCTCCAAAAAAGGAATGTGCGCCACATAATTCTGTGATAAATCCTGAAAGGAACACCAGGGATAGATTGAAATGCATGTGCTTTTCTGATGCTGATGTATTTTCCGGCAACAGAGATGTGTCTAATTATCTTACGAATGAAGGGACGCAATGAAAACCAAAAGATTGTCATGCACAGCAGCACTAGGATTGCAACGTACAATTCTTTTTCCCCATTGATTAAACATAGAGCTACAACCAGCAGACACGAGCATGATAGATCATTGACAACGGCTGCAGTCAAGGCCATTTTACCAAGATCCGTGTACATGAGCTTCAGGTCTGAAAGGATTCGAGCTAGGTAGGGAAGGCTCGTAAGGCTAAGGGCAATGGACCAGAAGTAAGCACCCATCTCAGGTTGCGCGATCAGTTGACTTTTGTTGCAGCACTATAGAATGTAATCCGACTTCTACTGTGAGGGGAAAAATAATACCAGCAATGGCAACGCTTAAGGCCGTTCTTCCCATTTTTCGAAGTGGGGTTAAGTCCATCTCCAGACCCACCAGGAACATATAGAAAGTTACTCCAAGGTTGGCCATTGTCTCCAGAAACAAACTCCCTTCAAAAGGAGTGAGATTCTCTACTACCCAGCCCGTTATTCCCAGTGCACCTGGGCCCAGCAAAACGGCGGCCTACATAATGAACCAAATTAAGTTCTCTTTAATTTAAACAATAAACAAATATCTTGTAATAACATAAACATACAAGAAGTTCAGAAAGAAGACGAGGTTGACGAAGAGGCCTGAGAAAAATCATAAAAACACGAGAGGTCGCTACGAGGACACTTAATTGCAACAAAAAGATAGGAAGCATTGTCATCAAGGGGTCTACGGATTGCCAGTAACTGTTGGATATAGGTTTGTTTGCGATATAATATATGGTGAATTCATTGCTCATGCCAAAGCTTATGTTGTACTTTCCTTTGGTATAGAATTTTCGGCTATGACTCATTTTGCTTCTTCCCTGGACCAACAATCAATCAAAACAAAAGTGTGCAACCAAAAGATTAAATTAATAGTCACATGCATTGCCGCTGCCCATATATTTAGTGAGTAGTTTAGTTAAAAATGTATTACTCTAAAAAAATAAAAAGTTGTTAAGTTATGTTGATAAGAATTCTATAAATAGAGTAAGTAATCAGATTTTAATTTAACCAGCATATAATTTGTTTTGCACAACACTAAAAACAACAATAAAAAAAGACATTGTTTTGGTTCAAAAAGATTTGTGATAAAGCCTAAATAGGACAATTCAATCATGTATATTAGTAAAAAGATTGTGGAAGTATATTTTTCTTTAAAAGTGGCCGAGTCAATGTTACTGTTTATTGGGTCCAACACTTTTATTTAAGCAATTATATAGAGGTAGGATCATTGATCGATTCATATAAACAAATTATCTTATTATCTTATTTATAATTTTATTTTTCTAGTAGTTCGTTCAGTACCAACAGACTTAAGCAATGTCTTAACTCAGTTTTAACACTAATTTTTCAACCAATATATTTTGATCCTGGTTGATATTAATTCTCAACTTTAACCTTAAATAATAACCCATTGTAATAAATAAATAAAAACTCATCATTTAAATTAATTTTTAAATTAATTTTCTTTACTTTCTATGTTTAAAAACTGACATTTTAAATTTCATAATATATTTAAACGCATAATTTTGTGCCAACGAAACTAACCTTTTATGCATGTCGTTTGCTCAATGACCCATGTTGTCCTTTTTGCACGGGAGCGATTGAGTCACTTGTTCATGTTGTGTGATTGTCGTCTGGATCAAGCTCTTTGGCCGATTTTGTTTTTTCAGTGGCCTCTCGAGGGTTTTCAGTGGGATTTCAATTAATGGATGGGTTGGTTATTTTCTAACTATTCGACTAGTAGTCATACAGAGATTTTTGTTGTTCTTTGGGAATTAGGGTTTTATAGGAACAAATTATTACATGAAGGAAAGTATACAACAGTGCCTTTGTTAAGTCTCAATGTTCAGATTTCTTGTCTGCCACAGTTCGTTTTCAAGGCCTGTTTCCTTCCTCTCGTATAAGATGGTTCCCCCCTCCTCAACTCCATGTGAAGGTGAACTTTGATGCTCATTTTGTAGATGCAGATCAAGTTTCTTGGTCAGGTATACTCGTTCAAAATGAATTTATGAGAGTAATTTATTATTAATTAAAAGAAAATGTTTGAATAAGTCTGTTATGTTGAATTACTAAAGGTTTTTTTCTGTGCAAATTTTCTTTAATTTATGATTATTATTGTGCAATAACATTTGATTTTCGCGCGTTAACTTTGTTATTCAATAATTGATGCAAACACTTTTCGATTGCATATTTTGGCGGCCCGATTATTTAGTCCAATAGGATAACTTTATTTTTATTTTGGGATTTAAGGCAAAAGTTAAAATGCAGTTGAAACTCGTCACGTTGGTGTGACGAGTGATGAGTTCTGTGGGATAGTATTTGAACCCTACCAAGCTTAGTTCAACCCTACCATAAACATAAATAGGGCACAGATATAGACTATTGAAAGAATGGATTAAGCAAAACCTTTAGCAGTTGAAGCGTCAAATAGTTGTTTCCGCATACTAATAATTCGGTCTGCCATCGCTTTCAATTCAATCTTCCGTTCATTATACATATCACTGCAAAATAAAAAAATAAAACAAGTTGAAAAGGAAAATATGCAGTCCACAAATGAATCCGCCTCATATGAGTATAATTACCTCACTCAAAGTTCAACAAGAAAATCATATATGAAAGTTACATCCAAATAGATGAATAAATGTTTTCCTTCCCTAGTTAATATCGCCTTTGCCAGCTGTAAATGCAAGTATGTAGTTTAGATATTGGGACCCGAGTAGCTTTCCTTCTGATAGTTCTTTCAAGTCTTCATTGTATTATTTTCATTTATGATTGCGTTGAATGTATTTATCTAGTCTTATGCTTCCAATAAAGCTGCTTGATTTTTTCTTAAAAAAATAGACATAAGTTTTTAATGCAATTAGGTTTTTAAGTTATTTTATATATTTATTTTGAGCAGGCCATAGACCTTGCAGCTGTTACAACTTTCTTGTTGGATGCTCTTCCTCCTATAAACTCATCAAGCAGAGAAAGTATGCCTTAACTCTTAATATCCATACTTATTTCTCTTTCCTCCTTTACTTTGCAGATATAAGCTTTTTAGTAGCATTCTCAACATGTAAGTTATAAATTTTGTTACAGGATAATCACATTATCACTAATGATACACAAAAAAGATTGTAGCATAAAATCATACAGCCTAATGAGAACAGAAGTCAGCTTCCTACCATTTCAAATGAGCGACAGGCTGAGATAAAGCAGCACCTGCTGTTTCTAAAATATTACCGAGGAGGCAGTCATAACCATGAAACTGATTCGATATATTAATGGGAAGTAAATTAAGATGGTTTTGCACGAACAACGCCATCTGATTTGTGTAGTACATGGTCAAGCTCCAAGGAGCAAAAAACTAAGTAGTAAAACATCATAAAATTATAATCTTTAACAAACAAAAAATGAAAACAAAAACTATGTTGCAGCAAAAAAAATTCTATGAAAATAACATTTGGTAGCTCGCAGCACAAAGCAAAAAAGAAGAAGCTATTGCCAATAAATACAGCTAGTTTGATGATAAAGAAGTAGAAACAATCAAGTGGAGTACAAAGAATATTCTTTGAAGTTTCTAGCACAACATACTACCAATACCATGATTCAGTTAAGCAAAAAAAAAAAAAAAACTTCTAAAGTACCAAAAAAGTAAGACATAGAAGAAACTTACCACTTTTAAGTATGGAAAAAGTTGCCATATAAAAGAGATTGTAAGAATCTGGGACGATAAACTCCACTGTGAATCCACATTCAAGCAATATCCTTCTGCATCATCCCAATTGTCATGACGACCAGTCCTTATAACTGGAAAAACCATCACTTTTAACCTACAAATTAAAAATACACCATTTATAGATGATGGAAGCCTTTAGCAACCGATTCTGAATCAAAGGTGTGATCAAATTTTCACTCATTTCACAAATGTATCAACTTACCCCTCCATGTGCATGACCGATGGCCATAATAGCGGCTGTTTCCATAACCCATGATAGAGGGTTCCACATAAATCTCAAGAATTTGAGTATATTTTCCTGAAAATGCAGAACAAAACTCAGTTTGATTACATAATTAGAACAAGATTTACAACAACAAAAGAAGAAGAAAATTTAAGTTACTTTTTTCTCTTCAAGTTTATTGTAACCGAAAAGGTCAAGACTCCTCTGCACTTCATCAGAGGTTAAACCTTTTTTTTTGCATTTCAGCTTTTCAAAAACCTCTTCAACGGGTATGTTTTCCTGAATGAATAACATCAAAGGACAAGTTCATAATCTAATATATATATATATATATATATATATATATATATATATATATATATATATATATATATATATGAACTAGTACAAGAAATTCAAACGATTTCCAAGTTACATTTCTTCTAACATTTGTCATGTATCAAAGAATAATGCTTAACTGTCTTACACTATAGATTTACGTTCGCATATACGAAGATTTTAGCATCAGAGGATCTTATCAAAACCAGTAAGGGGAAAATAGAAAAGAATATGAACCAGATGAACAGTCTCATTATTAATGGCTTCAAGAGGAACAATTGTTTTTTCCGTGTCCATTGCAGTTTCTATTTTCTCAGCTCCCAACTCTCAAAATCAAATATAGATTATCTGCAAACAAAACAACATTCCATATGATCATTTCACTTCTAAAACAAAAACCCGATTTTTGAAAAGGGAGAAAAAGAAACCTAGCAGGATGATATGAAACAACGCAAAGAAGGAAGCAAGAGGATTGAAAGCGAGGGAGCTATGTTTGACAAAACAAGAAATGCGATGGGTATATATAAAACTTAACTCCGATGAAAGAAGATGCTTTGTAATCGAGTGGAGCAAAAAACATGGCTTCTGTAACTCCGTCACCAGTATTTGCATTGATGAAAAGCGAAAAAGAAGGAAAGATCTGAGCATTGTAGAAGTGTTAAAAGATATTAGTTTACACAACAACTCGAAATCATTGAACTGATAAGGAATCTCATTGATAAGGAATCACTCCAGAGCAAAAATAATGCAAGAAAAACAGCAAGAAACGAACAGAAATCAGAATTACCTGCTATCAAACGAAACCAAACCAATAATGGGATCCAATTGCCTCCTAACGATCTCATCAAACGACTTAAACAAGCCATTCTCCAACAATGATTAAACGAAAAACATCGAAAACAAAATTATTAAAAGGGAAACACCTCCCTTAGAACTTGAGGGTAAATGGGCATTGATCAAAAACGAAAAGAAAAGAAATATTTGATTCAAAATGGAAGGAAAAGCCAGATTTTATCCAGCAACGAATGGGAAAAAATCGAAAGATTTGAGGCTAAGCAAGCAGACACTGAATCCATCACGGGGGAAAGCAGAGAGGGAATGGTTTTAAGTTAGAACCAGCACAATTGCAAAGTTAGAACAAGGATCTAAAAAAATGGGTGATTGAAACTCACCAAAAGAGAAGAACCAGAAACTGTGGTTCATAGATTGAACCATCTTGAAACAACAGACTATATATACTATAAGCATCTAATCGATCTTGGAAATAAAAATTAGTCTTACCTCTGATTCTAAATCCTTCTCCAAAAGTGTCTGCATGCTTAGCCTCAAATCTTTCGATTTTTTCCCGCTCGTTGCTGGATAAAAAAGTACTAGCAAAACTGTTCAATATTACACAACAATTGGGCTTTATAGCTCAACAAAAAAAGTAATAGCAAAACTGTGCCACGTATTCTAAGCAAGCATGTCAGGAACTCTGGACACTGCAGCAAAAGATTAATATATTTTTCTTTTCCGGGGTAGATATCTAAACCATCATGCTAAAACGCTAAGCATCAAAGAGCCATTAAAAAAAATTAAAGGGGCTAAGAGTGAAAACAACCTCAATGCTAGATTTGGAAAACTATGAGAGGACCAACAAACTCCCATAAAGCCCCATGATTTTTGCATATCTTTGAGCTATAAAGCATTCCCCTCCATCTGCAACAAACATGCCAACATGTTGTGCATATGCATCTAAGCTACCACTTGCAAATCCTTGGATGGCAATTTTAAATCTTGTAAAATAGCAATTCTATAGCCTATGAAAACTATAATATTAACATCTATGGAATACATTAAGCAGTACGAAAAAGAAAAGTAAACAGCTTAATATTTCCTGATAGTCAAGTGCCAATATACCGCATTGATTTTAAATTTCTCATGAAAAGATGTACAACTTGAATTATCACTTGCAAAGATCTAAGATAAAATGGTCAAATTTGATTCAACATTAAGTTTGCTAACTTAATAGGTAGAAATGAAAAGATACAAACCTAAGTGACAATTTCTTTTGAACAGTGACTTGTAGGAAAATTACCTAGAACATTTCCCCTTTTTTTGAGCAATGCACGCAGGAAATTCAAAAAGCCCAGATTCACAACCAAAAATGGTACATACCAGAATAGCATCAACACAGAAACAACATTGGGATAGAAGTTATAAAGAACTAAGTAACCAACGAGCTGATAATTCCAGTGACCATGCACCATCAGTAATCATTTCAGAAACCGGAACTGGCCCATAGCAAAATCTGATGCCATCAAAGCCTTTCGTCCTTCCTTACCAAATATTCCAACACCAACATCCGCCATCTGGATCATCGAAACATCATTAGCCCCTATCAAAATGTACATCAGAGAAAGATCAGTGCTAGCTTGAAACATGTAAACTATAGAAACTAATGAAGCCACTAAATAAAAATCTAAACACAACAAATAATCAAAAAGACTCACCGTCAGCAATAGCTAGTGTCATGTCATCAATGTGGCTTTTGATAAGATCCACAATCTGAGCTTTTTGCAATGGCGCAACACGACAACAGAGTACTACCTTACAGGAAGTTGCAATGTCGGAAAGCTGTTGAAAGGTGGGTAAAGTAAATTGAAATATTCATGAATGAAAAAACAATGACAATAAATACAAATATAAAAGCAAGTCCAAAAATTGGTTCATACATTGAACCATCTTGAAACAATAGACTACATATACTATAAGCATCTAATCGATCTTGGAAATAAAAATTAGTCTTACCTCTGATTATAAATCCTTCTAAAAAAATATAGACGAAGCTGTTTTTATTGATTATAAGTGCCAAGGGTGCACAAACCTTTTTCCAGAACGTAGCTGTAGCACATTGGAAGATTTTGCTTCATCCGGTATCTCAAGATAACAATTTTCTGGATAATAAATTGAAATGGAATATTTCATAAATATTCAGATTCGTTATTCATGAATAGGAGACTGGTGCAAAAGCATAGAAAAGAAGCCGGTCAATCTAATCTAAGGCATAGCCATACCTTTCTAACAACCTAAACAAGCATTTTATAACAGGTACGAATTGACTTGCCACTGCTTTTAAATCGACACCTGATGACAACTTTGCCTGAGAAGCTCTGATTTTAAGGCAATAGTTTCAGGTAATATAAAGTTCCAAAAAATGGTGTTCAATGATAACTTGGAAAGAAACAAACATCCAACCATCTCAAAGAAAACAAAAATATTCTAATTCGCGGATACTTTAATAAAACCCAAATCCTAAAATTCAATAAACATGGCGAATTCTACAACATAACCAAATACCCAAAACACAAAAACAAAAACCCAATCAAAAGTCGAGGAGAAAATTGGAAGCAATTGAACGAAACCCAGTGGACATCCTTGTCAGTATCAACGAGAACACCATCACAGTAAAAAAGAAGAGCAGAAGGAAGAGTATCCGAAGAAGAAGAAGCCGAAGAGCAATTGATCCTGAAAGAAGTACAAACTTGCTATGTTCTTCTTGGTGTTGATGTTGAAGTGAGAAGTGAAGAAGAAGATAGTGTATTCTTTGCAATGAATAAATGACAGTTGCTGAAGACAGAAGCTTTGGGTTTAACACTCGAAGAAGGGAATGGCGGTAGTGAAAGAGAGATGGCAGTGGAAGCCATTTTCAAGCTGTGAGTTTAGACAGATTCCGTTGGTTATAAACGGCTCTGAAAGCAAAGAAGAACGGGGCAGAAACAAAACATCCCACATCACTTGGGAAACTGCTTACTGAATGGTATTTAAACTAAAGCGCAAATAATACATAACTAAGCCGTCAGGTCTATCCTCGGGCTTTGGTATTGGGCTTTGGATTCCAGGCTCACCTTGCGCAGGTCGAAGAGACTGGGGTGATGGGTGAGGGTTTTGGTTATAGGCTTATTTTTTAGGTTTAGGGTTTCATGTTTCAAATTCTATGTTTCATATTTTGGGTTTCGAGTTTCAATTTTCGAGTTTCAATTTTCGAGTTTCTGGTTTTAGATTTCAAAATTCAAGTTTATGATTTCGAGTTTCGGATTTCAAATTTTGGGTTCAAGTTTAGGGTTTTGTATTTTAAATTTTATATTTTGGGTTTTGGGTTTCAATTTTTGGGTTTTCGGTTTCCAATTTTAAATTTTATATTTCGAGTTTTGGGTTTCGGGTTTCAAATTTTAGGTTTCGATTTTCGGGTTTCTTGTTTCAAATTTTGGGTTTCAGGTTTATTGGTTCAAATTTTAGGTTTCGGGTTTCGATTTTTAGGTTTTGGGTTTTGTTTTTCGGGTCAAGTTTAGGGTTTTGAGTTTTTAGTTTTAGGTTTTGGGTTTCAAGTTTCAGGTTTCAAATTTCGGGTTTTCGATTTTCGGTTTTCGGTTTCACGTTTTTTGTTTTCGGTTTCGGGTTTCGGGTTTTGAATTTTGGGTTTCAATTTTTAGGGTGTAGGGTTTAGGTTTTAAAATTTGGGTATCGAGTATCGAGTTTTAAGTTTCAAGCTTCGGGGGTTTCAGGTTTCAAATTTTGGGTTTCAGATTTTAAATTTCCAATTTTGGGGTTTGAATTTCGGGTTTCAAGTTTTACGTTTCGGTTTTGTGTTTCAAATTTCAGGTTTTGGGTTTCAAATTTTGGGTTTTGGGTTCGGGTTTTAAAATTTGGGTATCGAGTTTCGGGTTTCAGGCTTCGGGGGTTTTTTGTTTCAAATTTTGGGTTTTGGGTTTTAAACTTTAGGTTTTGGGTTTTGAGTTTCAAATTTTAGGTTTTGGGTTTCAAATTTTAGGTTTCGGGTGTCGGGTTTTGAGTTACGTGTTTCAAATTTCAAATTTTGGGTTTCAAATTTCGGGTTTTAGGTTTTAAATTTCATGTTTCGGGTTTTGAATTTCAAATTTCGAGTTTCTGGTTTCGAGTTTCAAATTTTGGGTTTCAAATTTCTGGTTTCTAGTTTCTTGTTTCGGGTTTAAAATTTCGGGTTTCAGGTTTTAGGTTTGGACTTTCAAATTTTGGGTTTCACGTTTTAGGTTTCAAATTTCAGTTTTCTGGTTTCGAAATTTAAATTTTGGATTTTGGGTTTTGAGTTTTGGTTTCGAGTTTTGGGTTTCAGGTTTTGGACTTCAAATTTTGGGTTTTAGGTTTAGGGTTTAGGGTTTTAGGTTTCAAATTTTAGTTTTTGGGTTTAAAATTTTGGGTTATGGGTTTCAAGTTTTAGATTTCAGATTTCAGATTTCAGATTTCAAATTTTGAATTTTGGGTTTCAAATTTCAGGTTTCAGGTTTTGAATTTCAGGTTTGGGATTTCGTGTTTCAAATTTTAGGTTTTGAGTTTTGGGTTTCAGGTTTTGGTTTTCAAATTTCGGGTTTCAGGTTTCAAGTTTCAAATTTTAGGTTTCAGGTTTCGGGTTTCAAATTTTAGGTTTTAGGTTTTTGGTTTCGAGTTTCAAGTTTCGAGTTTCGGGTTTTGAGTTTCGGGTTTCAAATTTCGGGTTTCGAATTTCAAATTTTAGGTTTCAGGTTTCGGGTTTGGATATTCAGGTTTTGGGTTTCTGGTTTCAAATTTTTGGTTTCAGGTTTCAGGATTCGGGTTTCAAATTTCGGGTTTCGAGTTTCAGGTTTCAAATTTCGAGTTTCTGGTTTTAGGTTTTAAATTTTGGGGGTTTAGGATTTAGGTTCCAAATTTTAGGTTTCGGGTTTCATGTTTAAAATTTCGGGTTTCAGTTTTTGGTGACGGGTTTTAGGTTTTGGGTTTCAAGTTTTGGGTTTTAAGTTTTGGGTTTCAAATTTATGGTTTTTAGTTTCGAGTTTTGGGTTTCAAATTTTTGGTTTTAGGTTTGGGGTTTTAAGTTTTAAATTTTAGGTTTTAGGTTTTAGGTTTCGGGTTTCAAGTTTTAATTTTCGGGTTTAAAATTTTGAGTTATGGGTTTCGAGTTTCGGGTAAAAAAATTTCGGGTTTTAGGTTTTGACTTTTAATTTTTGGGTTTTTGGTTTAAGGTTTCAAATTTTAGTTTTCTGGTTTCGGGATTCAAATTTTGGATTTTGGGTTTTGAGTTTTGGTTTCGGGTTTCAAATTTTGGGTTTAGGGTTTTAGGTTTTGGACTTCAAATTTTGGGTTTCAGGTTTTGGGTTTTGGGTTTTAGGTTTCAAATTTTAGTTTTTGGGTTTTAAATTTCGGGTTATGGGTTTTGTGTTTTAGATTTCAAATTTCAAGTTTTGGGTTTCAAATGTTGGGTTTTAAAATTTTAGGTTTTGAGTTTTGAATTTTGGGTTTGGGGTTTAATGTTTCAAATTTTAGGTTATGGGTTTTGGGTTTCAGGTTTCGTGTTTCGGTTTTCAAATTTTGGGTTTTGGGTTTTAAGTTTCAAATTTCGGGTTTTAAATTTCAGGTTTCAGGTTTCGGGTTTCTGGTTTCGAGTTTCAAGTTTCACATTTCGGGTTTCGAGTTTCGAGTTTCAAATTTTGGGTTTCGAATTTCAAATTTCAGGTTTCGGGTTTCTTGTTTCAAATTTTGAGTTTTTGGTTTTGAATTTAGGGTTTTAAATTATGGGTTTTAGGTTTTGGGTTCCAAATTTCTGGTTTCAGGTTTCAAATTTTGGGTTTCAGTTTTCAGGTTTCTAGTTTCAGGTTTCAAATTTCGGGTTTCGGGTTTCGACTTTCAAATTTTGGGTTTCGGGTTTCAAATTTTGATTTTCTGATTTCGAGTTTTGGGTTTCTGGTTTTGAATTTAGGGTTTCTAGTTTCAAATTACAAATTTCAGTTTTTGGGTTTCGGTTTTAGGTTTCAAAATTTAGGTTTGAGGTTTTTATTTTTGGGTTCTAAATTTTGGGTTTTGGGTTTTGAGTTTCTGGTTTCAAATTTTGGGTTTCGGGTTTCAGTTTTCAAGTTTTGGGTTTCAGGTTTCGATTTTTAGGTTTCAAATTTTAGGTTTTAGGTTTTAGGTTTTGATTTTTGGGTTTTATGGTTTAGGTTTTGAGTTTTGGGGTTTAGGTTTTGGGTTTCAAGTTTTAAATTTCAGGTTTCAATTTTTGGGTTTTAGGTTTCAAATTTCAGGTTTCGGGTTTCGGGTTTCAAATTTTAGGTTTCAGGTTTCTGTTTTCGGGTTTTGGGTTTCATGTTTCAAATTTTGGGTTTTTGGTTTCGATTTTTGGGTTTCGTGTTTCAGGTTTAAAATTTTAGGTTTCATGTTTCGAGTTTTGGGTTTCCAGTTTTAGGTTTCGAGTTTTAAATTTAAGGTTTAGGTTTTGGTTTTCGGGTTTCAAATTTTGTGTTTTAGGTTTCGAGTTCCAGGTTTCAAATTTTGGGTTTTGGGTTATAGTTTTCAAGTTTCGGGTTTCGGGTTTTAAGTTTTCGACTTTCTATTTCGGGTTTCAAATTTCGGGGCTCGGGGCTCGGGGCTCGGGGCTCGGCTCGGGTTTAGGGTTTAGGGTTTAGGGTTCGGGGTTCGGGGTTCGGGGTTCGGGTTCGGGTTCGGGGTTCGGGGTTCGGGGTTCGGGTTCGGGTTAGGGGTTTAGGGTTTAGGGTTTAGGGTTTAGGGTTTAGGGTTTAGGGTTTAGGGTTTAGGGTTTAGGGTTTAGGGTTTAGGGTTTAGGGTTTAGGGTTTAGGGTTTAGGGTTTAGGGTTTAGGTTTGGGTTTAGGGTTT